TATGATTATTTCCAAATAATGTGTAATGATGACATAAATATTGCAACCGATAGATGATAGATTTCGGTTGAATTTTTATAATGATAGTGGTTTTTTAATATACTTACTTAATTGTAAACCTAACATTAAGTTACGCGATGAGACGCGTGAACATTGTATTTTATAATTTAAATAGAATAAATCGATATTAAGTAGTGAGTTAAAAAAAAAGATGAAAGAATAAAAGAAAGGAACAACTCAAAAAGATGGCTGTATTAGTAGAAGTTTTATAGCTACAAGTATTTGCGTGTTAACAAAAAAAAACCCAGATCAATATTGACAACTATATAAATAACCAATTTTGATAAAATAAGTAGTAACAATCCAACGTAGCGATTAAAAAGGTTTAAATTTATTATTTTAAGTTAGGTCACACGACATTCCCGACTTGGAAATAATTATAAATTAGAACGTATATCGCAGGCTCCCATCTGTCAGACTATGAACAATAGTTTTACTCAAGAGTTATTTCTGCAGATCTGTATCATTAGACGAATGCCCTCCGAGATAGCCATTAGATATCTGGACAGGAGTACCTAATCATTCTTTAAAGCAATCTACTTGTGCGAATTGTCGATCTAAGATTGTTTTGGTGTTTTCGAAGAACTTTCCTGAACAAATAATTGATAAAAAAAAATTTAAATACGAACGCAACTGGTAAACAACAGAGAGGCCTCTAATAGGTGAGTATGACTTAGAATAAATTTATAGGTATAACTTGTATATAACAGGTATAACTTTCGTTATGTATCAACATGGTAGAATTGTGTCACCCATAAAGTTAGAGTGTTTGGGACATAACGTAGATTTATTTAGGGTAATGATATTCACATGTTTATGCGACAATATTGAGCAAGAATATGTAATTGATTTGTTAGAATTTTTGGGAATTGGAGGCATTTTAACTAAAAAAAACCCATATGAATAGTATAAAAAAAGTAGTAAAAATATTATTATTTTTTAACTATATTCCTATCCTAAGCTTAGCTACATATGAGACGAATGCCAAGATATGTCTAGGTACAATTATCTTCTTCTAGATGATTATAATTTTTTCATTCGATCAATTTAATATGTACCGGTTTGTTTCAAGGTTGACATGACAGGTTTTTTTTATTCATCCTACTACCTTTATTATAGCATGTGCGTCAAAGACTTTCAAAGAAATCGTTTAATAGATCCAATGAACTGAGGTTTTTTGCTAACTTACATGTACTTAGATACTTTATTTTTGTCTATTTTGTTTAAGATAGGTACGTAATTCACGATCAATATCTTTCAAACCAATGTTAAAATAAATTATCGAACAACTTATTGCAAAGAACATTTTTCTTTGTGTAATTATGCAAATAAGATTTTATTTATTAGTAAAAACTGTGTTTTCATTACAAACAATAACTTTGATTTCACTATTATTATGAATACTAGCATTGCCCGCGGCTCCACCCGCGTTCAGATGACCAAAAACCAAATTCTTAGATTTTACATATTAGTACACTCTTACAATGCAGTTTTTATATTTTTTCTCAGAAATGAAATATTTTCCCGCGGTAAAAAGTATCCTATATGTTGACCCGGTTAACCAGCTATAATCATACCGAATTTCATCAAAATCTGTCCAGTGGTTTTCTCGTGATGCGGTAACAGACAGACAAAAATTCTGAAAACTATAGATTCGGACTCTGTATCGATAATAATGTCTATTTCAATTAGATTTTCCAATAAATATTTAATGTACAGATTCGACTTAGTTACAATTTTATTATATGTATAGATAACTAAGTTAAATAAGTAATAAGACCCAAAGAATTTGTAACTTATGAAATAAAGGTTAATCTATACTAATATTATAAAAAGGTAAAGTTTGCGAGTTTGTGGGTTTATGACGTTGTAAGGTGTAATCTCTGGATATACTGAACCGATTTAGATGAGATTTAGTAAGAAGATAGTTTGAGACCCTGGGAAGAACATAGGATACTTTGTATCCCAGAAATCATCCATTAAGGGGGTGAAAATGGGGATGAAAGTTTGTATTGGGAAGTAATTATTATAATTTGCTGCATACCTCAATATAATAAGACTGCCTATAAAATATTTTCTTTAAAGTAACTAAAGTCATTACGATTCTTCAAGGCTTAATAATGACATTACTATTAGTAAGATAGTAAAATGTTTGATTTAATTAGAAAGTGATAACTGATAGTAGCTCTATTGTAAATGTTATCGCTAACATTCGCCTTCTCCCTTATTAGGTCACTTTCTATTGTGATATTGTTTGATACTTATATATATATACTTGTACTGTTATTTTGTGGTTTGTTTATTCGAGTAATAATTAAAATCGTAATAGTTTTTTTTATCTGATATGGGAATAACCATTATAAAGCTATACGTATATTTCATATTAAAATATCATGTCAATTTATTAAGTGTACTTTGCATGTGATGAAAACTTAAATAAGCCGACTTCAATACATTTAAAATTAAGAAATATTAAACTTAATGTTTTATTTACATACATTTTTTTGGTTTAACGATTAATGTAGGGCTGTTGGTGGAAGTGTACGGTGAATTACTAAGGTTTTATATATTTATATTTTTAGGATAACCTATATGGGATTATAGGTCTGTGGGCAATAAGAAAATATTTCATGCATTAGTCTGTTTTATAAAAATTAGATATTATTTTTATCTAAATATAGGTATTTTCATTATTTAACAAAATGAGCATTGTAACTTTATAAAGTCCGACAACAGAATGCTATCAATTTTCAATACGTCATTCGATCGTACACGAGGTACTGTTAGTGACAAAAATGCAATTTGATTCGTCACGCTCAGGCTAATAACGGTTTGGTTACGTTTCCGGGTTCCGACATTGACACGCGTGGGACATTCGCTAAAAGCACTACTCGCTTCGTCGAAGTCGGCTAATAAGTCCAATGCTATAGTTTGACAACTAACGGCGGCATGGTTAATCCAAATTGACAGATCTGGAAACTAATTGCGTATACGCTTGAAAATCGTATTGTAATTTAATTTATTCTATCTTGTCAATCTGCCAGTCAATAATTTAGGTTCCATGTCAACTATGGAGAATTGTATGGTAGTTTCTTATGTATCTCTTATGGTAATAACGATTAAATTAATGTATTAATTTACTACTACTGGCTCACCCTTGCTTCGCTTGGGTTCCTCCTTAGGTACGTTTTAACGGTTAGTATAATAATTAGAATAGATAGACATGTATTATATTACTGCTCCGCTCCCTTGATTAATGGCATGATGATATTATATAGCCTATAAGGCTTCCATAAACGGGCTACCTAATGCAAAAAGAATTTTTCAAATCGGATAAGTAGTTCCTGAGATTAGCGCGTTCAAACAAACAAACTTTTCCTCTTTATATATTAGTTATATATCACAAAATAGTTAATTTTTGCTGTGGAAAGTAATAAAATAATTCTTTTTAATTTGCGCGTTTGAATTGAACAAAACAGGATACGAGCTGTATTGTAAATATATTTTACTCGTACCTACGAATCCCTCGTATGTTTTATTATATTACGTTTTGACGTATTATTCAAGTTTATTTTATTTATTTTGCCGACGTGACATTGGCGAAGTAATCCGTGCTCAACTGGAGCGTTTTAAGGCCATTTACAAGAGAATTGAATTTAATTTCTTTCACGAAGTATATTTTATTATGTAAAATTAATTTAAAATAGCGCTTTTTATACTCATTGTACAAGTTGACATTTCGTCCAACTGTTCTCAAGTATCGACTGTACAATTCCCACGAGGGTTTTAACTTAGTTTTATCAAGTTTGTTCGATACTTCGACAAGGGAGGGTGTGTGGTTGTATTCTATGAAGCCTAATGAGGGTCGACATAAAGCGGATGTTATTAGGCAATACTCGTACATTGTTGCTTACATGCGGGAGAGACAAATGGTGCAAATTGCGTATCTTCGACGAATACTTTTAAGCGTGGAATTTATAATTTATTGAGCAAAGGCTTGGTATTTAAAAGTAAAATATAAGATAATTAGTATGGCATAAGTCACTATCTAGACTAACCTCGAAAATGGCAGATATTCTCAACTCGAGTGCATGTGTTTTATGAGACATATTTTTAATCGGTTTATTCCTTCAATCAAAAACCCTGTTAACAAAGTCAGTTTTATGAACAGCAGTTTAACTGGAGTTACACAGGGAATCGTAGGGAGGTTTGGCAGGGAGCAGAGGATAATTTTGTTTTCTTTGCCTTCTCTACCATCGATTATTCCAAGCAGAATTCAAAGTCTAAGGCCAGAGTATTCTTACTAATGAAGCTGGTGCTGTGTTCTGTTCGTAGATTTTAATGTAGGTATCTTAATTATTCTACACCTACAGCCCATTGCACAGGTTAACCGCGCACGTCTCACGAGGTCAAGAGTTAAACGTTACGCGTTGTCTTCATCAATCTTACGTTGTTGGCAAATATTAATAGCTCGTTATATAGTATATGTCTTACCATTTTTAATCTATAGCTTATTTGCTGATTGTCTAATCAGACAGAGTTTGTTCTAAATAAAAAATAACTCTCAAGTTTTCGTGATTATAAATAAAGTGATGTTTGAGCATGTGTGGTGAATTTTTTTCTTGAAAGATAAATATAAGATCATTTTCACACGTCAGCTTAAATAAATTTATTTCATTAAGTTACTTAATCGTAATCGTACATCGATAGTTGTTATTAAATCATTTGAACGCTTAGACTAACGGTAATATTTACAAGATGTAGTGCTAAAGTCATAAACGAAACGATAACATGTTTATAATTAAGATGAAATTTCATATGATTATAGTGAGATCTATAAAGAAAAGTATTTATGTGTAATAATTTACATTTCGTTTTAGAAATAAAATATATTTATTTAGGTTAAATATTTACATATATTACTTTCGTTATTATTCTCATTTGTATTTAGAAATTACAGTATAATTTTCTTTTGAAGATTTTCTCTAAAAGAAATATTTAATAAGTACAATCTATTACCTAATTTCTAATACAAAGTAGTTTAAAAACAACTTTCAACATTACTATAGTTACTATAGTGTAAAGACTTACCAGGTCAGATTCTCCATCAAAGTCGATACACTGACCTGTTGAGTGACCACCCACAGCATTCGACAAACAGTAACGAGGCAATGTTACGGAATGCAGCGCGACGCGGGCGCAAGCCCATTCGTTCAAAGTAGACTTTGTTGAATTATCAACGGTACATTCTATTACTAAATTGTTCATTGCTGTTTTGTATTTATAATACATTTTTTCGCATTTTAAGTTAATTTCAATACCATAACTTCAATTTGAATTAAATATTTTATTTTTTATTAAACTTACGACACAAATACACATCTTAGGTAGGTATATTATGTGTATTTTCAATTTCATAACTTTTATGTATAAGCTGTATTGATATGTATAAGTAAAAAAAAAACAACAAGTTTTTAAAGTTCAAGTTCATGCCCAAAATAAGCGAAAGGATTGCTTATTTACAACGACGATATCAATAAGATAAGTAGGTAAGGACTTCAGAAGTGTTTACTAGCATTTATTAAAGATATTACCAATTATAATCAGTTTAGATAAGTTCTTGAACCTGACGACTAGTCAAATTATGTCGTAAGCAAAAATCTCAGCTATATTCAATCTCAAAGTTAAACGTGACGTAGAATTATGAAGTAACATTATGTTGTATATGCAATATATGCGACTTGTTGTTCTCGACACTTCAACCTGCATAAAATCTTGGCCGTGATATAAAGTATGCGCAGTCATGGAATCCGATAAAAACGCCACGACCTTCACATTAGTTTCCACTATAAATTTAATTACGTACACACACGAAGATGTACAAACGATAAAACCTTATAGCTGATATGAAGGTATAAATGCAAATTTTTTCATAATCTTCGATAACGGCCGTGATAGTTGATACTCTTATCAAAATGAAATTCCTACCGGAGAAGTTAAACGGTATGAAGCTTATCGATGACTAGGTATAATTAAATTTTATTGTACACTCATATTTCCGACTATGTAGCACTTTATTTTTATCCTGCATTCAGTGAGTTGAGTTGTTGAGTAAGAGTTATCTTACGTATCACTGTCTGACGATTACTTTATTAAATTAAACCGTATAACTAACTTTAAACAATTTAATAAAATAATTACCTATAACTTAGATTACTTAGATACCATTATTAAATAGAAACAAGAAAAAGCAATTTATATTATTATTTATTTATAATATGTATGTATTTAAAGTTATATATGTGTAGTGTATCAACTATCTGGTATCCATAACACAAGCCTACGAGGCTTACCATGGAACTAGATGGTGCTGTGTGTTACTGTCCCAACATAAAAAAAAATATTATATACTTACTCCTTTTATTTTATATGATGAAACTGATATAAATGATCCAAGTTGTTTATATTGTCTTTAGTTTTTTAGTTTATTTTTCGTTAATGACAGATATTATGGTTGAAAATGTTCATAGGCTTTAAATGTTTGATAAGATGATTTCGTTCTTTAGATATATTTTTATTAAAATTTTAGTAATTTAACCTAAGTAACAGGAATGTAAGCCAATATCCACACGGTAGAAGGACCTATCTATAGGAATAGGAGGATAAAGTAAGGGGAATGGAGGGACTCAGGCAGCCTAAGCACTTTAACTTCCTGCAGGTGCGGGCTCCTTTTATTCTTGTAAGGCCGTCTCATGACCAATTACAAGACAGGGTTTTTGATATATAATAAACGTTTGTAAAACCTTTAACTAACTTATTTTACAATAATTTAAATTTACAGTAAGTACAATACTAATATTAATATTTAATACATATCTTTAATTCATTTATTGCTCTCAGGATTAATATCTTGTATTAGCAATTTATCTCATCATTACAAAAATGTTTATCATTCACACACTAGTAGATAATAGAATATAATCTACAATCAATATTTCGTGCTTCAGAATGTTTATTAACACCTCCAGGTAAATTTCTAAGAAATTAATTAAATTTCTAAGAAATCTATTGTTAACTGTAACGCCGGCGTGTCCGCGGTCGTGGAGGGAATATAGAGATTAAAGGTAAGTAGGTACATATATAGCAGGAAGTATGAAAATGTGTTTTTGCAATTTTTTACTCAATAACTGGAGAACGGTTCTAAGTGATTTTTAATAGAAAAAAATAATAAATAAGCTTGTTAGAAGATAGCGATAAAGCGATTTCCTATCAAAGTAGGTAGGTTATTACGCAGTTCTCGTGCAGGTAGCTAAAGGCCTAAGCAAAGCGAGGTCGCTAGTACCTATGTGATTAAACACATGTATATACTTTCTATAATAAATCCCTAATAATAAATTTTGTTTAAATAAGTTATATGTTATGAGAATTATCATCAGGTCATATAACTTCTTAAATCGCAAACATCTGTTCCGATACAGTTTATAGCCAAAAACATGATCGAGTTATAAATTATTATAATATACGACATGCTATTAGCGATTTTATTTCTTATTTATATAAACATTGCTAAATACTTGAGTTGTGAATAATTAAATGAGCGAAATATATTTAAACTCGATATTAATGCAACACCGGTACAACAATCAGATTATATATTATTTTGCAATCTCTTTAATCCGTATCGTGATAAAATTGTTTTAAAGCGCAGGTATAGTTGGTTTTAATTATTACAAAACCTATGTACCTATACAATATATAATAGACATAAGTATTACCTATTATATTATGCTTTAAAATTAAAGTATAAAATACCTTTACATAATATTTTAATGCATATAAATAATGCATAATGATTGTGCACGATCGCGATACTGTTATTGATTTTATGTGGACGGACATTTGGATCCCCTCTTTAGGGCTTCGTTTTATAAAGAGTGCAAATGGAGTTCACTTGTGCATTAAATTGCATTCATTAATATGAATACACTGTTTTAACTAATTTGTCTTTTATACCTGACGTTTAGTATGCAAAATGAGTTTAAAAAATACCAAATTACTACTGTTTATTGTTATTTACTCAGTTCTTATTAATCAAAGAAACACTCGATACTTTTAATGTGACTAAGCTCGTGAGAAATAGTTGGTCTATATGAATAATTCAGTTTTCTATCCAAGCGTGTTACCTTCGCAAACCTTCGTTTCAATTTGACTCAAGATCAAGAAACATAAAGCTTTGAGAGCCTAGAGACAATTTAATAGATTCGTGCCGGACTTAATCAAGATTTTATCGCTCTGTGAACGACTGGCGCACTATTGGTTGGCCATAATGATATTTATTTCATTACCTACACGCCAACGATAAGAAAAAAACAGGTTGACAAAAAACCTTATAGTATTCCACTCGTAGATACTTTTAAGGACAAAAAATCCAAACCCAATTTAACCCGCTACTAAGAATAAAGGCCCCTTAGAATAAAAATATAATCTTTTCATTTTTCGACTCACCACAAAAACATCGACGGAGAAAAATCCAAATGAGGCGCACAAAAAATAATTGCTTGTTTCACAAACACATACAAGAGTAACGGAACACAAAATAAATCCACTTATAAAACACACAAAACAATCTAAGGCAGTTTTTAATCACGTTAGATCCAATTAACGTGTTCGGGACGATTTTTACGCGGGAATTGCAGTAACCGTACAACACACAACCGACTACAAGCGCTTATCACCCGCGACTGGCGAGCGAGAGAATGATTGGTAAACTGGTACGACGAACGAATGAAAGAACGAATATAGAATAATCCACACAATATATTTTATCTTGATGCCTATTCGAAATTTAAATGTATTTTTTTAAATGCTACCTACTATAATATTAAAAAAAAATAACTTACGGTACCTATTTGCAATGAAAAAAAATTTGCTAATATTTGTACATATTCCGCAATAAAAATAAAATAATTGATTTATGTATTTATGTAATGTATGTAATAGTATTAGATAATATATATATATATATATATATATATATATATATATATAATATAAAAATAATAATAATATAATACAAATAAATATAAAATTATATATTAAATGTTTTATACTACTCAAATGAAGGATTTAATATAATTTATGTTCGGTAGATCTATTGATGTATTTACAAAAATAAATGAAAATTACATAAAAAGCAATCAAAGGAAATAATTAATAATACTGTGAGTCTTTATTTCCTCAGTTAGTCACCTACTTTCTGTACCATAGTTTGTTTGAAGAAATGATTGACGATACCGCGAGAAAGGTAAACAACTGATATTACGCTCGCTTAGCGGCTTGAAAAGTTTTATTTGCTTTTCTGCTATAGACTTAAAGCTTAAAGTCGCTTAAATTTATTCATTAAAAGCATGTGCTCGATTCAGTACCGTTTTCTTTATTCATTCACGTATTTTTTGTGATCATCGAGTAGATGTGAAGTTTGATGGTAAATGTGTGTTCAGGCGTGAAGAAGTATTACCAGAATATAGCGCGGTTATAAATAAGCCTTAATGTATCACCAATTATGTAAATTCACATAAAATTTGTCGAAAGCAATCATCATCTCGATAAAGTTACAAAATTTAAGCTCATTATTATGTGGTTTATTAACATAATTATAATTATAACAATGTCAAACTCAATAGGTCTGAAATATTATCTATATCTACATATAATAAAATTGTAACTAAGCCGAATCTGTACATTAAATATTTTTTGGAAAATCTCATTGAAATAAACATTATTATCGATATAGAGGCCGAATCTATGGTTTTTAGAATTTTGGTCTGTATGTCTTTTTGTCTGTCTGTTACCGCATCAAAAAATACCACTGGAGGGATTTTGATGATATTTGGCATGGTGATAGCTGGTAATCCGGATCGACATATAGGATACTTTTTGACGCGGGAAAATATCTAATTCCTGAAAAAAAATACAAAAACTGCAATGTAAGAGTATACTAATATGTAACACCTTTTTTTTAACGTTGGGAAATGCATTTACGCACGAGGTGTGGGACTCACCGGCAAAGCTAGTACTACCCACTAAAACCCAACAAAACTTTCCCCTGTCTGAATGGGGCGTCGCAGGATCGCTTACGCATTCAACGCAGGCAGGTCTGCCGAAGCAGACCACCACAACCATGGGGTTGCTCCAAGGTCCACTCTGCTATCAGAGAAGTACCAGGTGCAACCCGCATGGTACACCGCCTCCCGAAGAGGGCCACCTGC